CATTATAGGACGGAGGGAGTAATTATTATACGTAGTATTTAGTTCTTGACCCATGTAAACCTCATTCATAAAAATACACTTGACTCACATTCAAAAAATGCCTCAAATGTCTCAAAATTGTTCAAAGAGCATGTTGACTCCCGTTGCAAAGCTTGACAACACTCGAACCAGTTGGATGCTCAAGTTACGAGTCGTGCGTGTTTACTCTGTTCCCGTTTGAACAAAAGGCGGAGATTCAATGGATATCATCTTTCACGATGAACATGTATCATATTCTCAATTTTATCACACTTAATCATTATTTATTTATTAATTTATTCTAATCTACACTTTTATCCTTTTCTACAGGGCACGAGGATTTATGCTCATCTTAATAAACCGGAAAAAGGCATTTTGAAACACAAATCGTGGAAGATGGTGTTTATGGAATTCAATATCTCTTTGTTCATGACAACTACCAATCGTGCAAAACCACCACAAATCAAAAGTTTTTAGTTTTTACGTCAAAACATTGACTGGAAGTGATTTCCCAAGGATGATGTTTGATTTAAAATCCTTTCCGATGATTCAAAACCAACCGTGTTTGAATGATCAACTCTTGATTGGTACTATATCTTTTTGGAAACAATTTATCAAACTATCGTCCTACTTTATACAATGCTAGGATGGTTTTGGAAACAGTGTTCCCGCCAAAATCATCGGGTAGTGAGTTCGTGTATGGACCGGGCCAAGTGCGCAGACTAACGGGTAGTGAGTTCGGGTATGGACCGAGGCAAGTGGGCTGACTAACGCGGTTGCTAGCTTGGACATCTCCGGGTCAAATCATGGGTGCATTTCTCCATAAAGGCATAAAGTAAAAGTAGTGTCAAATTTATCCTATTGCTCAATGTGTTTTATGTCAAATCCATTAAATTTATTCTTTTCCTATTTCTAAGCATTTAATGGATGGATAAATAACTTCATTTTCCAAACTTTATGTCAAATCGAAATAAATAAATAAATGGGTAGTGTATTGATATGGAACCGCGTGCGTCAGGGGCAGACCCAGAACATTTGAACTATGGGGTCGCAATTTAAAAAATTTATATTCAACCATCACGCTTCTAACAGTAAATTTGATGGTTCCACTAGATGATTTAAAAATGATGATGAAACATTTGAATTCAAATTGATGTTTCCGGTGGATGATTTAAAGATGACAAAGCATTTGCATTCAAATTTGATGGATTCTCACTCGATTCTTTCTCTTTAAATCTCGGTGTCTTTTAAAATACATTTGCATCCTATATTGAAATTTAAATAATTAAAAACATTATAAACATAACCTAATTATATCTACATATTCACAAATCACAATCTTACAAATAAATAAACGAATTCAATTCCCTATTCTGCTATTCACGATAACAAATTTATAAGAATAAATTAAAATTTTTACAATTTACAAATAAAAAAATAGCCAATTTAGATAATTAGATTCAATTATGTAAGAGAAAAAACCTGGCAAAGTAGCAATGGAAGATAAAGATTTGTTTGAGAAATTGGGGGTGTCGTACTATCGTCACTCGTCGGATCCAGGCGGAGGTTTGTAGTCGGCGAGAGGATGAGTCGGTTGAGACTTCCGATTTTGTTTGGGAAGTGGGATGGGTGGTCGAACTTTTAGGGAGTAATGCTAGAGTCACAAACAATGAGTTCACAAAATTCACAAACATGCCTTTTTAACACTTTCCTAGAAATAAGATGCACTCAAATAATAAAAGATATTTTAATTTAAAATCCACAAAAGGCAACTTTGTGAAGTTTGTGGCATTTTCCTTAGATTTAAGAGAAAACCGAAAAAAAGGAAAAAAATGACACCGTTTTAAACTTTTAAATATGCATCTTCCAAAAAATAATATATTACTCATCCTACAGCTTGATTCAAACCCATGACCGCCCCACACAATTGCAGAATATGAGCTCTCCACTCCTTCAGCAAATACAAGTTGAAACTTGTAGCGTTTTGTACTCCTTTCGTTCTATAAAAGTGTTCCTATTTTGACTTTGTGTAAAAATAAGAAAGTATTAAATTGTAGTTGACTTCTAATTTTGCTCTTGATTTGATGGGTAAAAGTAAGATGTGATGAATTGAGTATTAGAGAAAAAAAGTATGATGTGATAGGTATGGTATGAAAAAGTAAGGGTAAAAGTGATTTTTTAATAAAAAGTGGAAGTGTTTTGTTGGAAGTAAAAAAAATTGAAAGAGGAAGAGTTTTTGAGAACGGATGGAGTAGTATATATACTACTTCTAGGCATATACTAAAAAAATTATATATATATATATATATATATATACACACACACACACAGACACACACTAAAAAAATTTAAAATTTCCGTGGGATCGCTTGACCCCGTGTGACCAAATGTGGGTCTGCCCCTAGCGTGCATAGTCATGTTGGTGCGTGGCTCGATGCAAATTTTATGTTAAATCAAGTTAAATAAATAGGTAGTGTATTGATATGGAATCGCGTGCGTAGTAATGTTGGTGCGTGGCTCGATGCAAACTTTATGTCAAATCAAAATAAATACATGGGTCGTGTATTGCTATAGAACCGCGTGCGTAGTAAAGTTGGTGTGTGACTCGATGCAAACTTTATGTCAAATCAAAATAAATAAATGTGTAGTGTATTGGTATGGAACCGCGCGTCCGCGCACGTAGTAATATTGGTGCGTGGCTCGATGCAAATTTTATGTCAACTCAAAATAAATAAATAAATGGGTATTGTATTACTATGGAACCGCGTGCGTAGTAAAGTTGGTGCGTGAGATACTTTATGTCAAATCATAAAAAAGGAGTAGATTCACTAAATCAAGATATTTAATGAGTAGAATGATTGTCCAATTATATATACTCCATCCGCCCACAAATAAACTTCTCGTTACGCGTTACGATGTTTGTCTGAAGTTATTTTCAAAACATTTTACATGAAAATTGGTGTAAAATTTAAAAATAAAAATTACATATTAAAAAACTAAATCAAAAGATCTAGAAAACTAGAGGCGACATGACTATATTGTTTTATCAAATGAGTGACGAAAATAGGCCAACAAAGTGAATAAAGTTTGACCATGTGAATAGTGAACGGAAAGTTTACTTGTGGACGGAGGGAGTATAATGCTTATACTCCAAAAATTTATACCTCTCATCCCAACTCGGCCCACTTTCAAAAAAATATCTCAAAACATTCAAAGAGTATGTGGAATGCGCTTGCCGAGATTGACAATTGTCGAATCACTTGGATGCTTATGCTACGAGCTGTTCGTGATGATGAGGAGATTCAATGGAATTGATCTTTCACGATGAACATGTATAGTATTTACAATTTTTTTATTATTTGATTATATGTAATTATTTTAATTTAATTTTATCATTTTCCTTCATTAATGCTTTCCCTAATTATATAGTTTATGATTAGGTCGTGCAACGCACACGAGTACGATTTTAGTTAGAGATAAAATGAAGATAGATATTTATAGTCGGTAGTTAAGCCTACTTAATTAATTTCTTTCTAGGTAGTGACTGTCCATCCGTTTTTCTGTTTCATGGTTTCGGCTTAACCAAGGACGGAGTCTGTCATGGTTGGCTAATAATGAGAACGTAACTTTGACCAAGCAATAATTGGACTGGGCCGGGCCGTGTATGAACATAGTGGACTCGCCCCAGTGGCATTTCGGTAGGGTTCCCATTAATAAAGGTCTCACTGTGTGGACCAAAATGTATGAGTGTCCCACACGGTGACCCTACATGGCCTACAATACCTCGCCAGCCTTCCTTCAATTCCATGCATATATATAACCCCCCCCCCAAACCGGACGTATCATTTTATAACTCAAACAACCAAACCAACCAATCAACCTCCACTGCCCTTACTTCTTTCTCCTCTCCTAAAACATACAATATAATGGAGTTCCTCGCCGGCAAATCCATCCTCGTCACCGGCGCAACCGGCTTCCTCGCTAAAGGTGCGTCGTCGTCATACATAAAAACCCTAATTTTCCAGACTTACAACGTAACCAACGGTATACTTGAGCTTTTTGTTAAGTTAGTTCATTACTGACACATATATATGGCGTCGGGACTTTCTTGACTACAAGGTCACAAGCTCAACACACGTACACCGTAGTCCAACTTTTCAGAAAAAGATAAGGTTTTACGCCCGAGGTTCAAAACAACCACAACTGGGCGTGAGATGACATCTTGAATTATGAATTGAAATCATTTCCTAGCCTACAATGATAAAACTCAAGCTTTTGGTTGATTTAATTACTCTACATTATATCTACAATTTATTCATTTCGCCTTTACATATATGTTGATGTTTGAATGCATGCAGTTCTGGTAGAGAAGATACTTCGGACTCAACCCAATATCAAGAAGCTCTTCCTTCTCATTAGAGCCTCTGATTCTCATTCTGCCCTCAAAAGATTTCATACTGAGGTATATATTTATATACTCCCTCGGTTCCTCTATTCTTTTCACGGTATTTTTTTATTATATACATCTTCACTTTTCATGGTCTTCACTTTTTTTTATTTTATATATATATATATATATATCTGTGTGTGTGTTTCCTTTCAAAACCTTCATTTTAATGGGTGTGTTTGTGTTTGTTTAAAAAAAATTAAACTTGAATGCATTAGTTGACTTACAATTAATAATTATATTCACCTTCTATAAAAAAAATTATATTTACGTGGATTTTAGTGCTTAGTTATATCTGAGCTCCAATTAGATTTCTGGGGAAAAGGAGGTGTGGATTATCTCTCAAAAGTCAAACAACTGAATTTTTTTACTTAAAAAAGAATAGGTTAATTTGGATATTCATCAAAAACTCTATCTCTAGTTTTAGCATATGGAAGAAAAGCATTTTAATTTGAAATTCCCTTCCCTTCTACTTAATAGTTACCGTGCATTGATGAATATTTCTGTTTGAAAGTTTATTTAATTACTACTCTGATCCTAAAAATTCTTTATGTTTTTAAATTTTTTTAGTCAAGTAGAGATAGTTGATCTTTAACCACAAATTAAACATAATCTAAATAAATACATATGATACAAATTTGATATATCAAGACTAAATCCTAAGATGAACTCAATTATATTGAATTTATATCATAATTCAATATACTTTTCTCATAATTTATGATAAAAAATATCATTTTTTAACAAAAAAATCAAAACAGGAAGAGTTTTTAGAATGAAATATTTGCACTAAATAGCACTACAACTTAAGTCATTTTTCTAAATAGCACTTAAACTTTTTTATTCCCTAAATAACTCATAATAATGTCCAGAAGGAGGAATAATATCCAGTGATGGCGAACCATTACTTTAATAATGACTAATTGATAATGACTAAAAGTACTACATTAAAAAAATACATACAATGCTATTTAAAGAAAGTTATGCTATTTAAGTAAATACAGTACCTTTTAGAATTGGAGAGATTGTTTCTTTATGTATAGGAGTACGTGTTTATCAATGCATAATCGTACTTCTTTGTTCATGTTTACCTCTTCAACCAATCATCTTCAATGTGAAGTACTTGGGAAGATATATCTTATTCATTATTATTAAATGAACTTTGCTACTCTCTCTATCCACCAAAGATTTCTCATTAGAGATGATAAGACTATATTAATTTATAAAATGAGTAGTAAAAATAAAAAAATAAAATAAATTAAATTTAATTATGTAAATAATATCTGAGAAAAATTTATGACAGACAGAAAGAATACAATATATTCCACTTTATGCATCATAGTCTAGATTTTTTTTCTTAGAGTCATGTGATCTTTTTTACGTCTTTTCTATACAACCAAAAATACAATTAGGCACAAAAAAAAAGTCTTCTCTTTACCCACAAACATTGCACTAATATCGCACATGCAAAGCGGTTTATCTGAAAACAATGAAAATGTTTATTCTTTTAATATGGTCTATACTCTACAAAGGTTGGTGCACTTACCTACCTTATTGAATTTCATTTTCATTTGCTACTGCATTTAATTTTAAATCTCTAAAAAAGTGTACTAATTTAATTTAGGGTAATTTATCTAAATAAGACTAAAACATAAAGGAGAAAGACCAAAATATGACTAAAACATTGAAAATATATTAAAATAGGACTTTCATGTTTTTATTCCCGAAATAGGACTTACATTACATATATGGTCATATACATTACCAAAAAAGTATAGTAATTTGCACATGTACACTGTCACATTACAACCGGGCAAAGTCACATTACCACAGTGCAAAGTCCTATATCGAAAAAAAAAATATGAAAGTTCTATTTTGGTACTTTTCTCTATGTTTTAGTCCTATTTAGGGTGATTTCTAAAAATATAATAACTTTCTCAAAATAAGATCATGTATTTTTATTTTCCAATGTAGAACCATTGGTCATTATCTATTAGTCATTATTCAATTAAATGTCTAGCATCACTTGGACATTAATTTTTCTCACTAGACATTATTAAGTCCTATTTAGGGAATAAAAAGATTTAATTCTTACATTGAGAAATGATTTATGTTTTAGTCATATTGAGTGCAAATTTTACTTTAATTTAAGGAGCTAGTACGGACTTGTTTTTTTTGGCTCATGTAAAATTTTGCATTGCATAATAAGTGAGTTTTCGAGTACAATATTGCACTAGTTACAAGAAAAATATTGATCGGATTAATGAGTTAAGTTATTAATGAAATACAATTTCAGATTTTGGACTGTGAACTGTTCAGAGTCTTGAGAGACAAATACGGCGGCAAGTTCAACGCTCTCGCGGAGGAGAAGGTGTTTCCGGTGGCCGGCGACATTTCCTCCAAGGATTTGGGAATTGAAAATTCTGAACAAATCTTGGAAGAAGTTGACTTTATCATCAACTCAGCTGCAACTACTGTGTTTGATGAGAGGTATATAAAATAATTTCACGTATGAATGATTGGCGAATTGAAAACCCCATGCATTTTTAATTTGTTCATATAAAAATCATTATTTAATTTTTTTTCCCATTGTTTAATAAAAATGTGACTAATTATTATTGGTATTAATTGATATGGTAGGTATGACGTTGCCATGAGTATCAACACATTGGGTGCAATAAATGTTCTAAATTTTGCCAAGAAATGCCTCAATCTCAAGATGATTGTTCATGTGTCCACCGGTAAGTCTCAAGAATCTCATCTTTTTTTAAAAAATTTATTTTTAAAAACTCATCCGTTTGGTTTTAGAATTTATTGGCGTGTTATTATATAACTCCCGTCCCTGAAAACCTTTATCTTTTCTTTTTTCATCCGTCTCAAAAAAACTTTTTTTAAAAAGTCACTTTTATCCCTACTAATTCTTAACCTACCTATCAAATCACATCTATTCATTATTAATCTATCCATCAAATCCTAGTTTTACCCATCACATCAAAAGACATTTTAAAAAACTCAACACTAAAATACATTCCACTTCTTAAAAATCCAAACCTCCCATGTTTTTAGGAACCGATGGAGTATGTGGGTATGGTTGTTTGAGTTAAAAAAACACTTACTACTCCGTAAAAACAAGGCAAGTGGTACATTTGATAATTAATGATGAGTTGTACGTGATTATATATAATGCAATTAATAACGTACGAGAAATTCATGTGGGTGGTTTGCAGCTTATGTATGTGGCGACAAAACCGGAAGTGTGCTAGAAACCCCATTCCGCCTAGAGGAAACTTGCTTGGACATTGATGAAGAAAAGAAGGTTATAGAGGAGAGATTATTAGAACTCAAAGCCCTAAACGCAACTGAAAAACAAGTCAGGGTGGCCATGAAATCTTTGGGAATAGAAAGGTACGTACACATACTTCTACCCGTCTTTCAACGTACAATCTCCGAACAACGTACAAAATTTTAATAGTAACAATGGTCAAGGGACACCAATTTTGGGACTATTTCAGGACGATCATTAATTTCTTGATATGAAATATGGGTATAATGTGTTAATTATATGCATGCACGTGTGTGTAGGGCAAAGGTGCATGGATGGCCAAACACTTACTCATTCACAAAGGCTATGGGGGAAATGTTGTTACTAAAGTATAAGGAGAATCTATGTGTTGTCACGTTGCGCCCAACAATTATTACAAGCACTTACAAAGAGCCTTTTCCTGGATGGATTGAAGGCGCAAGGTATTTATTTAGCACTCTGTATTTAATTTGTACAAAATAGTAGCCTAGCTAATTGCTACTCGGTAATAATGGAGTATTTTATTTCTTATTCTAAATTCATTAAATTGTACAATGACACATGAACATGCATGACAGGACCATGGATGTCTTTGTATTGATGTATGGTAAGGGAAAATCGAATTTCATGTTGGGTGATCCGAACTCCATACTCGATGCGGTACGTATTTGTAACCAATTCCATGCATGCATGCATGCATGCATTTCTACATGCATACTTCATATCATTAAGCCTCAAACGGTCAATTATTATTATGTTAATGAATGACCTGATCTAATGTTTTACACACATGCACATATATATATGCAATGCAGATTCCAGGAGACATGGTGGTGAACTCCATACTGGCGGCAGTTGCGCACCACGAAAGCCATGGCGATCACGACCAGCACAAGAAATATAGTGACGAAGAGTTGATATACCACGTCGGCTCTTCTTCTACCAACCCACTGACGATTCTCGACCTCGGGAATTATTTATCGACCTATTTCACTCACAATCCTTGGATTACAAAGACTGGGGAGGTTGTCAAAGTGAGCAAACCTATGTTGCTCACCAGCTTGAAAGAACTCAGAAGATACATTTCCATTCGTTATCTCCCTATCCTTACGGTATATATACACACACATTATATATTCTCTTTTTTTCTTTTTAGCAAAGACTCATTTTGGACTCAAATTGGGTTTCTGTTTTATTTAACATGTTTCTCTTTTGGACAACTTTTTTTATCATGTACAAAGGTCTTGAAGTTGTTGAACGTGGTCCTATTTCATTATTTCGAAGAGAAGTGTGTGATCGTTGAGAAAAATATCAATTTGGTCATGCGTCTTGCGGATCTCTACACCCCATACTTGTTCTTCTATGGAAGGTATAGATATATATAGTACATAGTACATATTGATTATTACTTTTTACCTCCCAAAAAACCTTTAATTTTCACGCATTTTCACTTTTTATTATTCTAGAAAAATACTACTCCCTCCGTCCCGTGAAACATTTCCCCTTTCGCTTTTTATTCGTCCCACAAAACACTTCTCATTTCTATTAAAAAGTCACTTTTACCCCTTACTTTTTCATACCCTAACTATCACATCATACCTTTTTACTAATAATTTATCCATCAAATCATACTTTTACTCATCACATCAAAGGATATTTTTGGAAATTCAATACCAAAATACACTCTCTTAAATCCCTCTTAAAAAGCAAATGTCCCATGTTTCACGGGACGGAGGGAGTATTATTTTCAATTAAAAGCTCCCTATTACCCTACAAATTACAATTAATTTGAATATTATACTCCCTCCGTTCCAAAAAGATTTACACCTTTCAAAAAAATTGCGTCCCACAATCTCCTACCCATTTCTATTAAAAAACCACTTTTACCCCTTACCTTTTCAAATCCTACCTATCACATCATACCTTTTTCCTAATAATCTACACATCACATCCTACTTTTACCCATCACATCAAGGGTATTTTTGGAAAGTCAACACAAAATTATCTCTCCCTTAATTTCAACTTTAGTCAAAACGTGTAAATCTTTTTGGGACGGAGGGAGTATCATATTGCATTTATTCACTATTAATCTACTTATTACACATTATCTTACGTACTCTACTACTACATCCGTCCCATTGTCTTTGTCCACATTTGACTTTTGGAACTGTTCATCTAAGCACTTTGACTCATCAAATTCTCTTAATGTGTAAGCCTAAAAATAGTCATGTGTGATCTTGTTTGATTCGTATTAACATATACTCCCTCCGTTCTCAAAAACACTTCCTCTTTCATTTTTTCCACTTCCAACAAAACACTTCCCTTTTCTATTAAAAAACCACTTTTACCCTTACTTTTTCATACCCTACCTATCACATCATACTTTTTCTCTAATAATCTATCCATCACATCTTACTTTTACTCATCACATCAGGGGCAAAATTGGAAATCAACTATAATTTAACACTTCCTTATTTTTGCCCCAAATCCAAATGGGAAGTGTTTTTCCAAACGGAGGGAGTAGATTATTAATATATAATTTTTATAATTTTTTCATATACAAATTAAAGATAAAATGGATTAAAGAAGTGCATTAGATGGTGTGCCAAAAGCTAAGTGGACAAACACAGTGGGACGGAGGGAGTATAAAATAAGGTCAAAATTTGAAAATAACACAAAAAATACACATTCATCAAATCATACCTTTTTTTCAAAATGGAAAAGTTTTTTTTGGACGAGGATAGTATTTTCATTTGTCACATAGGAAGCATTTGTGTTGTGATAAACCAATCCGACTTTATTCATATAATGTTCTTCTACATGTGTGTCACTTTTTCATGTATCACCTTATTTAATTACTTTGTGTGGATTTTGCAGCTTTGATGACACGAACACGAGAAGATTGAGGAAGGCTATTGCTGAAACGAGTGTGGCGGAAACCCTATATTTCGACGCACAAGGCATCGTTTGGGAAGATTATTTCAATAACACCCACATTCCCGGAGTTGTAAAATTTGCCTTCTAATAATTAATATTAATGCTTGGAGGGTGATTATATTGTTATCACTCCGAAATTAATTGTTTTACCATTTGTCCAAAATCTGTACGTGTAATTGGCCAGGTTGGCGACTTTTGAAGTTATAAGTAATGAATTAATCTCAATTTATGCTTTAACCTTTTATATAGTACTCCCTCTGTCCCTAAATAAACTTCTCCTTACATTTTTTCTTTGTCCCCAAATAAACTTCTCTTTTCACTTAAAAAACCCCTTTTACCTCTTACTTTCATACCCTACCTATCACATCATACCTTTTTACTAATAACCTACATATCACATCTTACTTTTACACATCACATCAAGGGTATTTTTGGAAAGTCAACACAAAAATATCACTCTCTTAAATTCTCAAAAAGTCAAAAAAGGAAGTTTATTTAGGGACGAAGGGAGTATGTCCCTATTTATTACTCCCTCCGTTCTTAAAAACACTTCTTCTTTCATTTTTTCACTTCCAACAAAACACTTCCTTTTTCTATTAAAAAACCGCTTTTACCCTTACTTTTTCATACCCTACCTATCACATCATACTTTTTCTCTAATAATCTACCTATCACATCTTACTTTTACCTATCACATCATGGGCAAAATTGGAAGTCAAATACAATTTAACACTTCCTTATTTTTCCACTTTTTCAAAGTAGGAACTCTTTTTGAAAACGGAGGGAGTACTTATTAGTGCCCTCTACTCTACTAGCTAGCACTCATCCTTACCGGAAAAATGTATTGTTAAAAAAAGGAAAAATGTATTGTTAAAAAAGTGAAACTTTTATAGTGAGTTTTGCTCAGAGGAGAGATGAGAGAAGATTTTGAGCATTTCATGAAAAACCCTGCATCTACTCCATATTTGTACCTCACTTTGTACCTCAAATCATTACCCAGAGGAGGGTGAATAGACTTTGTTATAAATTTAAAATTATTTTCGTTTCTTTTTGAAAACGTGAAACAATTGTTAATCTAAAGTTCTTGAGAACTTAGATTAAGTGTGCAGAAGTTGGTGAATTGTTGGAGCAGTAATATGAATCAGTTAGTTTCATAGTTAATATAATCACAAAAATAAGTAGAGATAGAGAGAGACACACAACTTTAACGAGGTTCGAAGGTGGAGTAATCCTTCTACGTCCTCAAACTCTACTAGTTAGTTGGTTGTTGAAAATGAGCCAACAATTACAATAGTGAATTGCACGGTGTATCTTCACAAGGCCAATGTTGCTACAGCACTCGTGATGGCTTTGTTGTTCCTTCGAAGATCAAGCTTCTTGAACAACTACAAGGTCCGAACAATATGACTTGCAAGATTAGCTTGTAAGAAAGCTGATGTGCCTCGTATTAATCAAAATGTTTGATTAAAAATATATCCTTCAACTTGGTGTTGTACTTGAACCAAGAAAACCTTCAAGTATTTTCACTTATACCTCTTTGGAAGAAGAAGAAGTTTGCTTCTGGATAAGGAGTTTTGAATTCTCTCTTTATCAAGCTTTCGGTTAACTGTGATTGATGGTAGGTTGCTATGTTGTTGTATCTCATCTTCAATTTTCCGTAGGAGCTATATATAGGCTGGATGTATATATTTCTCCCTCCGTCCCTTTAAACATGAGATGTTTTGATTTTGAAGAGATTAAAGGGGAGTGTATTTTCCTATTGAATTTTCAAAAAATGTCTTTTGATGTGATGAGTAAAAGTAGGATTTGATGGATAGATTATAGTAAAATGGTATGATGTGATAGGTAGGGTATGAAAAAGTAAGGGGTAAAAGTGAATTTTTAATAGAAATAAGAAGTGTTTTTTGGGACGGATGAAAAAAAGAAAAGAGAAAGGTTTTCAGAGACGGAGGGAGTATTATTTATGGATATGCATGATTTGTGGAGGAATGGGTCACGCACGACATACATGAGGATTTTGTGGCCACTTTTATATATTACCTTTTTAGGAAGAGTAGATGTTTATTATAAATAGGTTTCCTTTGGTTTTTTGGGATATATATGGCAGCAAATTGTCACCCTTGGAAGACACGAAAAGATAATCTTCCGTAAGAAAGTTTTCATGGTATCAGAGCCTACGGGTTGTGTAGATTTTTCGTTCTTTTTTCTTGTGGCATAGATGAATATGGCGAGTTCTGGGGAAAAGAAATCCGACGGCGACCCTGGCGGTAGTGGAGTTCCTCAACGTCATGCAATCTCGCCATACGATCTTCATGCCAATGATAATCCGGGGTTGATTATCACGCATGTTATTCTCAAAGGTGAAAACTCCAAAGGCTCCACAAGAACATGGAAGTTCATTCTATGATGACTCGCTTGAAAGGTCTATACCAAGGCCACGCTAGACGTGAGCGTTTCAAAATTGTTGGGAAAAATATTATAGATTTTGGTGATGATGTATATAGATTGTAATAGGGACTCAGGTCTCCCCCATAATTCAATGTAATTTTCTTTTTTATAAATATTGTTAAAACTAAGTTCTTGAGTTTTCAAATAAAATTTGTGATATTTCGTCTTGAGGTTTGAGCATCCATGTTTTGAAGACTTATCAAAATCAAAGATGTGGAATTCGGAACTCTCGCTCGGAATTATCAGAGACAAGAAAGGAATTCTCAGTGAACTCAATTACTTCAAAATTCTAAAATCAGGAAGACTCAAATTCTGTCTCGCAACCATCCGTATGAACACCAGCAATCCAAGTATCTAAGTTTTGGAAGACTATCGCGGATCGCTCTAACGAACACTCTCTCTTCCGGAAGTCTCAGCATGACTAATCCGGAATGGTCAAATCCAAGAGCCGAATTTCTCAAGGTGGACCGGAATTCTCAGAATAGACAGATGAGAAAAGACTTAGAAAGTTATCTAAGCCATAAATGAAGGAACTCTACCCGCTGACAAGAAAAAATCAAACCCTTGATTTTCAAACGGCTAGATTGAGGATAATTCAATTGATTCAAGAACAAATGACAAGAAGACGAAATGTGGACTGTAACGCCCCAGAAACCGGTCTAGAAGTTATTTGATAATTAAATAAATAAGAATTATTTATTACGATAATCCATTCTTTTAAAGAATTAAAATATATTTTGGAGATTCTAATCGTCTCAACATAAAAAAAACTAATCTGATTATATTTGTAAAGATTTAGAGTAAAAGACTGATCAGTAGTAATTGATCAAAAGAATTAAGACGGATCAGGTGGAACCTATAAATATTAGTGAATTGGTTATAAAAGTTATATAGTTGGGTAGGGATCGATGAATCAAACCCAACGACACGAACGAATCTCAATTCTAAGCAAGTTAGCCCAAAAAATGTGTTTTTCTCAAACACGTTATTTTAAATTACGGAGCACAAAACCCTGGTATATTAATATAACCTTCTCGTCCTCAAACCTGGATCTTCTCCTTCTTCTACGATTCGACGCCGCCTCCAGCTCTCTTCTTCTCCGATCAAGCCGAGCAGCAACGCAAATCTGCAAACTCGACGGCGGCGGTTCTCCTGGCAGCTTCGACGACTTTGGATAGCGGCGACGGGAAAGGGCAACGTCGCGAGGCCAATCGACGTCGATTGGTTAGTGGCGGGCTACCCTCCGTTCTCGCGAATAGCTCCCAACAGCAGCGACCTGCGACTCCCTCCGACGATGAGTCCAGCAGCGACGGCGACGAATTCCGCCGGTGACCCCCTGTCCAGCGACGCCTGTTCTGGCAAAGCGCAGCGGTAGACCGGCGACGGTGCCTGGGTAGTGACTCCGGCGAACCAGCGACAATTCGGTGACCCCCTTGGTTCCGACGAAGATCGGGCAGCAAGTTGGTCCAGCCAGAACGGGCAGTTTCGACAGTCAATTTGGGTGACTAGCTCCGGGTGACGTTCCCTGGAATTGAATCGAACTAACGAGGTGAGTACGTGGACATCTAACACTAGAAATGCATCTAGGTTTGAAATTCTGTTCATAATTATTATCGTGGTTGATCTATTTGATTTATCCTTATAATTGTTGATTGTGGTTTTGGGAATTGTTGCCATTTAGTCGAAAAGGGTAGTATGCATGACTTAGGCATTGATTGTCTAGTTAAGGTGCTTGATAATGTTTAAGACATTAATATGAACCTATTGGTGTTGTTGTTATGAGAATTGTTATTGGTTGATGCTCTGTTGATCTGTGTCTTTGTCTAAGATTGATTCTGAGATTCCATGTGAGCATGACGGTAATCATGGGCCTTTGGTTCTGATAGGCCGCTATTTGATATGTTGCTGAAGAATGAATTGAGATGTGAACTAAATTAATCTCATTGGTGATTATTGTGAATTGTGAATAATATTGGAAATAGGCCACCTAGTTTAATTAGGCGGACCCGAATTAGATTGAATGATTGGATCACCAATAGGATGAGTCTAGAGTTTAGGCCATTGCGGGGCGTCGTCGCACACCCGGTGGTCTTGGGTTAAAAACGTACGTACGGAAATCCTTGAACTGTCTTGACATTGCAGAGACAAAGGCTTCAACCCGCCCAGAGTGAATCTCCTTTGGGTTTTCTAGAGCTGGCCCTTTTATAGCATCGCTTGGGGTGCCATGACTCATAGGTATATGAATTGCCTTAGCCATCATAGGTTAAGAGATGTGATTTGGATAAATGAATATGAATATCGTAAGATGTTTCGAATATTAAATATTACTATACCTGTGTGCATGATGAGCGGAAATAAATGTTGACTATGCATGTTATATCTTGTATGTCGTATGATCGTTGCCTAGCATGTTGTGTGCATGATATCATATGATAATTGTGAATTAGTGGATTCATCTAAGTGTATGTTCAAACTGTTAGATATTTCTCACTCAGCTTATTGCTGAGCGTGTAGTTTGTTCTGTCTTTCCACACGTAGGTAATAACGAGCTAATCTTGGAGGGCACAGAGACGGAGGAGATGTACGGATGCAGTACTCGAACCGTTAACACATATGATGGTTGTATTGTAACTCGTTTTCTGATAATGATCTATTAAAGATGTTTATCTAAAATAACAGTTTTGCTTCCGCGCTATTTTGAATTAACTCCAATAAACGTTTAAGTTTTAATTGAAATGTTTGGATGTTTAATTAAATGTTTTTTTTGATTTATTGGAAATATTGTGTGTGGATACCAATTTAGTAACAACCCGGTTCGCTAAATATTATGTTTATTGGAAATATTATGTTTATCTAAAATAACAGTTTCGCTTCCTCGTAGTTGATGACTGTCTTCCTCACTCCCCCTTCGTTCAAATTTGAAGCCAGCAAACGCAACGGTTAATCTATTTCCTTCAATGGATAGATCAAACTGTTTAACAAAAATAGATCAATTTGAGAAAAATATTCAATTACAAAGTACCATTTTGGGAAAGTAGTATAAAGTTTAACGTTGTTTTGACGCCGTTTTAACAACCGTTAGTCGGGGGGATTGAACTGAGTATAATTTTTAATCAACGAATAACTTATTAATTAGTTAATTTGATGGACTAGTTTGAGAAAGGATATAGTTATTGAGTACCATTTTAGAAATTACCTAAAAAAATAATGGGTATGTAAACACTTAAATTGAACTAAGTAATGGGTTAAATTTAATTTTTTAAGAGGGCATCTTAAATCATCTTAAGAGGGCATTTTGGGTTGCGTTTAAAAACTACTTATGAGCTTTTGCTTCACTAAAATAATGTTTTTCCTGTTTGTCAATCTGCTTCTGCTTATAGATTATGACTTCTGTAATCTAAAATGAGCTCTAGAAATGCTTTTAAGCAAAGCTAAAAATATCTACTTTCCACTTCGATTTAAAACTTATTTTTTCTTAAACGCTCTCTAAATTTCATAGCAAAACTCATGTATATGGGCTTTCCAATCGACTCCGTTACTTCTTTAGTTCTTGCTGGATTTATTCTTCTGGCGGGTAAAGTAAAGCCAGCCTTTTCGGCGAAGACTTTTTTGGGCTTTTGTTAGTTTTACCAGTTTTTTTTTTTTAAAAAAAAGTTGTCTTGGGTTTTTGTCGTTCGGTTACTTTCCTTTTAGATTTGGGATGTAGAGTTCTTTGGGTTTTGCTATTATGACTTCTTGTTTGTCCAAGTTGGTTTTTCCCTTAAATTATACGCAGAATTAAAAAAATCAAATTTTATATACTATACTTATTGCTTATATTCAATATTTATTTTATAAAAAAATATAATCATGTTCCCTCCTTTTTTGTACAACTTTTTATATAGTTTTTTACTATTTTTGTTTTATTTTTTTAATTTCATACTTACAATCAATTAAGTTGAATTAAAAATAAAATCGATCAAATTTGGTAACGCCTAATGACAAAATCCAACTTAGACGGAGGAAGTAATAAATTTCCTTTTGCTTGCAAAAAAGGAGGAATAAAACATTAAGTAAACCGATAATATAAATAGTGCTAACTAATGGTAGTTCAAATTGAGCTATTTAGTTACGTAAGTATTGGAACAGAGGACTCTTGATAATCGTTAACTCGAGCAATTACACATACATATTTTGGACAAATTATAAAACTACTAATTTGAGAGTGATGACTATATAATCACTCCGTAATTATTATTAATATTATTAGAAGGCATATTTTACAACTCCGGGAATGTGGGTGTTATTGAAGTAATCTTCCCAAACGATGCCTTGCGGGTCGAAAAATAGGGTTTCCGCCACACTCGTTTCGGCAATAGCCTTCCTCAATCTTCTCGTGTTCGTGTCGTCAAAGCTGCAAAATCCACACAAAGTAATTAAATGAATTAATCGTTGCATCGTTCTCTTAATAATCTTCTCGTGTTCGTGTCACGTTATTTTTTCTTAATAATTTTCTGTTAAGCAAAGATAATGTGACGTATATACAAAAGAGAATCAAGAACCATAAAAAAAATGTGCTGTAATATTATACCTTCCATAAAAGAACAAGTATGGCTTGTAGAGTTCAGCAATCCGCATGACCAAATTGATCTTTTTCTCAACGGTCACACACTTCTCTTCGAAATAATGGAAGAGTACCACGTTCAACAACTTCAACACCTTTGTAAAACAAAATTGTCCAAAAGGGAAACATGTTAAATCAAACCTAATTTAATTTGTTGTAATAGAGACATCCAACGTAACTTTGTCTAACTTTATGTGCATGCATGCATAAAAACAGAGGCTACACACGTCAATTCGGTTGACCCGTAACACTACCTGATAAGGAATGCCGGTAATGAACTAGCCATTAAAAGACCCATAATCCTAATCCTAAGTGATTAAGATAAAAGATTATATATAATCATGATTCCACCAACAACCATCTCTTACGTACTTAATTATTATTCTATCTCTCTCATTTTCTTCAAACTTTTACGATCAATGTTTTTAAAATTTTGACCACAAATTGTGAAAAAAATATTTATTTATAGATCAATATATACGTACCGTAATGATGGGGAGATAACGAATGGAAATGTATCTGCGCAAGTCTTTCAAGCTGGTGAGCAAGACGGGTTTGGCCACTTTGACAACCTCCCCAGTCTTTGTAGTCCAAGGGTTGTGGGTGAAGTAGCTAGACAAGTAATTTCGGAGGTCCAAGATCTTCAAAGGGTTGGTAGACGATGAGCCGACGTGGTATATCATTTCTTTGTCACTATATTTCGGGCGCTGGTGGTGATCGCCACCGCTTCCGTGGTGCGCAACTGCCGCCAGTATGGAGTTCACCACCATGTCTCCTGGAATCTGTAATTTACAGTTTGCGTTCAACAATTATAATATTTTTGAAAAAAAAGAAATTAAACAAGCAAACAAACATACACTCCCTGCATGCGTATAGAATCTTATATTATGTGGCATTATTAGTAGACATGAAATTCGTTACACATACCGCATCGAGAATTGAGTCGGGATCACCCATCATGAAATTTGCTTTCCCCTTACCATACAACAATACAAAGATATCCATGGTCCTGTCATGCAAGCATAATTGTTTAATTTGATTTAGAAGATTCAAAAAAGTTAAAACATACTCCCACCGTTCCAAAAAGTCTGACACGTTTCGAAAAAACCGCGTTCCGTAAAGTCCGTTACATTTCTATTAAAAAACAACTTTTACCCCTTACTTTTTCATACCCTACCTATCACATCATACATTTTTCCTAATAATCTACCCATCAAAATATCCCTCCCTTAATTTCCCAAAAAGTCAATATGTACCAATCTTTTTGAGACGGAGGGAGTAATAATTAGGCGAATATTTTGGAGGCATTAAATAAATAAATACTTGTATATACCTTGCGCCTTCAATCCATCCAGGAAAAGGCTCCTTGTAAGTGCTTGTTATAATTGTTGGGCGCAACGTGACAACACATAGATTCTCCTTATACTTTAGTAACAACATTTCCCCCATAGCCTTTGTGAATGAGTAAGTGTTTGGCCATCCATGCACCTTTGCCCTACACACACATGTATATATGTAACAAATTAAAATCACTACATTGACCCTTTGATTGTCATTTGTTGGGGTATATATTAGTCCTCATTTCTCAAGTTTCATTTCAAGATATTGACTAGACCAAACAACATATCAAAAGAATCAAATGGCATCACACATGTCACAGCGTTCTCCCAAGCTAGAAAAAAATTTGAAAAAATATAAAGGGGAGCAGTTGAAATTTGGCTAGAATAAAGCTAAGAAAAAAAATTGTAGACCCAAATTTCAAGAAAGGGACTAGACCAAACTATACTTCATAAAATAGTCTTCAAATATTAAAATAATAAAATGGTATCACATGTGTGGCAATGTACTCCCACCGTCCCAAATTAATTTGTAGATGCTGATTTTACAAATTTTATGCTAGAAAAAACTTTTCAAATTCTCTCCTAAAAAATTTTTTAGGACACATTAAAAAGAAAAATAAAAAGATCAACTCGAGACTGGAGATTAAAAAGAAAATGTTGAAATTTACTCTTTCCATCCAATATCAACTCTCTGATATACTCCCTCCGTCCCACTATATTTGTCCACTTTCATTTTTGCACACCATCCAATGCACTTTTTTAATCCATTTTATCTTGTAATTTGTATATTAAAAAATTATACTACCTCCGTCCCGTGAAACATGGGACATTTGCTTTTTAGGAGGGATTTAAGGGAGTGTATTTTGGTATTGAATTTCCAAAAATGTCCTTTGATGTGATGGGTAAAAGTATGATTCGATGGATAGATTATTAGTAAAAAGGTATGATGTGATAGTTAGGGTATGAAAAAGTAAAGGGTAAAAGTGACTTTTTAATAGAAATGAGAAGTGTTTTGTAGGACGGATAAAAAAAGAAAGGGGAAATGTTTCACGGGACGGAGGTAGTAGAAATTATATATTAATAATCTATACGTTAAGACAAATCAAACAAGATCACGCATGACTATATTTAGGCTTACACATTGAGAGAATTTGATGAGTCAAAGTGCTTAGATGAACAATTCCAAAAGTCAAAAGTGGACGAATATAGCGGGACGGAGGAAGTAGTTTTCAAAATACATTTAAAAATGGATGAATGCAGTCATACGTTATGCCTACACTCATTCAGCTGTTATGAGGTTATCATAAAAGTCTTAAACGGCACCGTCGACACGGAGTACGCAATTAATATGAAATGAAGAGATTAAACTTATCTTTATAACACTCAAATTTTAGATGTTCAAGTTTTTTTGGCATTTGAGACGATATAAAAGTGTTTTAAGGGATGCGCAAAATATGAAAGGTAACATTCTTTATGGGACGGAGGGAGTACCTTTCAATCCCCAAGATTTTCATGGCCACTCTGACTTGTTTATCAGTGGCCTCTTGAGATTTAAGCTCCATTAATTTCTCCTCAATAACCCTCTTCTCTTCATCAATGTCCAAGCAAGTGTCCCCATTATTTACAGTGTCTCCCAGCCGAAATGGGCTCTCTGGCACACTCCCACTTCTGTCACCGCACACATATGCTGCAAACCAACCCGCCCACATGCAACGTACGTACGTGTTATTTAATGCAACCACAGAATCACAGTAATTCTGGTTGATAAAAAAATTCACCACCAAATTTACTTGCCTTGTTTTCACTTTTTAATTACCCTAACACACAAGCATGAATAATTTTACGCGCCAATAAATTAAATTAAACATTTACTGCTCCCTCTCTTCTAAAAAAAAAAGAATCCCTAGTTTGACCAGGTGTAAAAATAAGGAAGTGTTAAAACGTAGTTGACTTCCACTTTTGCCCTTGATGTGATGGGTGAAACTAAGATGCGATTTGATGGATAGATTATTAGAGAAAAAATATGATGTGATAAGTAGGGTATAAAAAAGTAAGGGTAATAGTGGTTTTTTTTATAAAAAATGGAAGTGTTTTGTTGAAAGTGAAAAAAATAAAAGAAGAAGTGTTTTTTAGAACGGAAGAAGTAACTGTTATAAATACTCCCTCCGTCCCAAATTATTTGTCACATTTCTATTACCAATGTAAAATATCAAGTTTTTTCAATTCATTTTATTTACATATTGGTAAAGAAATAAAAAATAAAAATTACATATCAAAACACTACTTGAAAAGTTCTTCGAAATAAGATGTGTCAAGAATATTTTATTTTATCAAATAGCCAATGAAAACATAGAAATAAATAAAAATTCATGCTATTGAAAAAGCAAATGTGACAAATAATTTGGGACGAAAGAAGTATTAAATGGAGGAGAATTTTTAAACGTACCGGTGGACACATGAACAATCATGTTCAGTTTGAGGCATTTCTTGGCAAAGTTTAAAACATTTATTGCACCCAATGTATTAATGCTCATTGCAACGTCATACCTACCATATCATCAGTACCCATAATAATTAGTAACGTTTTTATTTAATATTGGGAAAAAATAAAATAATGATTTTTTATCTATGAATAAATTATTATCTTCATATATGTACCTCTCATCAAACACAGTAGTTGCAGCTGAGTTGATGATAAAGTCAACTTCTTCCAAGATTTGGTCAGAATTCTCAATTCCCAAATCCTTGGAGGAAATGTCGCCGGCCACCGGAAACACCTTCTCCTCCGCGAGAGCGTTGAACTTGCCGCCGTATTTGTCTCTCAAGACTCTGAACAGTTCACAGTCCAAAACCTGAAAATGCATGTGTTTAATAACTTATTAATTAATCAATGTTCTTGTATTAATTATATTTAAAAGGATTTTTTCTAACAAAATGCAATAGTGAACTTTATATTTAAGGTGTTTTAATGGACCAATAAATTAAACAACAATCTTAACAAGCTAAGTGCAATATGTGTTGAACTTGTTAGCTAAATAGGGATTCATATTTAATGCATACAACATTGGATTCCTTAAACTTCACTTTTGTGCACTATAAAATTGTACCCGTTAAAAACTGCTATAACATAGTAGTAAATAAGTTGATTGAAAACAAGAATTTGGTGTAACAGTTTATTGGTCGAGCAAGGCTTATTCAAAATTTAGGTGAACAAAATAAGGTACACAATGCAACTTACCTAAATTCTAAATTTAATACACTAGTAGAATTTGTGCCAATTCAATAAGGTCGGTAAATGCACCAATATTTTGAGTTTAGACTATATAAAATAAATTTAGAGTCTCTTTAATATACAGAAATCACAGAGTTGGAATTGAATTTGATGGAATTGAATTCTCCAATTCTCTTTCATTTTTTGTACCGTCAATTTCAAATTCACATATTTTGATATTACCAAACCCTCAAATTGGAATTGAAGTCCCGAATTTCAATTCCACGACTTGATTTATGTGTACCAAAAGAAGGCTTAACATTGGGAGAAAAAATGATACTCCCTCCGTCCCTTAATAAAATTCTCCTTTCTTTTTTTCTTTGTCCCCTAATAAATTTCTCTTTTCCATTAAAAAACCCCTTTTACCCCTTACCTTTTCATACCCTACTTATCACATCATAACTTTCTACTAATAATCTACATATCACATCTTACTTTTACACATCACATCAAGAGTAATTTTGGAAAGTCAACACAAAAATATCCCTCTCTTAAATCGTCAAAGAGTCAAAAATGGAAATTTATTTAGAGAAGGAAATAGTATTTAATATGTATAAAGAAAAAGAATAAATTGTAAGCGTAGAATACTTTAGATTGTGGCGTATAGATTGGTACAACAATATAATGAGATATATCTTCCCACCCACTCGTACTTTTTCATTGAAGATCATTGTTTGAAAAGGAAACGTCAACCAAACATGAAGACGGAGAAATAATTAGAGTAATTTACGGACTAAAAGATAATGACTTTTTCAATATAGGATCATATGTTTTTATTTTTCAATGTAGGACCATTAGTCATTATATATTAGTCATTATTCAACTAAATGTCCAGCATCACTTAGACATTATTCTTCTCACTAATCATTATTAAGTCCTATTTAAGGAATTTAAAAGTTTAAGTCCTACATTGGAAAATGACTTATGTTTTAGTCATATTCACTGCAAATTTCACAAATAATTAAGAAGTAATTGAAAATACACTAATTTGTTAGCCCTCCAAAAAATAAATTGCAAAATAGTAACAGGTACACGGCAGGAATACCGTTACGCATTATTTAGAAATATATATATAGAACACTTAAAAATCTCATAATTAAATAAATTAAATATAATTACTCTTCTTCCAAATGCCAAAATAAAATTTGAGCAGGAGATTTTATTAGGGAAAACAAATCAGGGGTTTGACTTTACAAGAGAACCCACACATCCTTTCCCCGAGAAATTTTGTTGGAGCTCAAATATGAAGGTGTATATACTCCATCCTCCTACGAATATCTTTTTTAAAATGATTTTATCTATAAATTGATATACTCCCTCCGTCCCTAAATAAACTTTTTTTTTTGACTTTTTGAGGATTTAAGGGAGAGATATTTTTGTGTTGACTTTCCAAAAATACCCTTGATGTGATGTGTAAAAGTAAGATGTGATATGTAGATTATTAGTAAAAAGGTATGATGTGATAGGTAGGGTATGAAAAAGTAAGGGGTAAAAGAGGTTTTTTAAGGGAAAAGATAAGTTTATTTGGGGACAAAGATAAAACGAAAGAGGAAGTTTATTTAGGGACGAAGGGAGTATAAAAATAGTATGAATTAAATATTTAAAAATTATATAAAAACTTCTACTCCCTCCATTCATTTAAATCCTTTTCGTTTTGACTTTAGGCAAAAATAAAGAAAGTGTAATTTTGGTTGATTTTCAAATTTTGCCCCTGATGTGATGGATAAAAGTAAGATGTAGTAGTTTGGTTGTCAGTGAAAAAGTGCGATGTGATAGGTAGGGTATGAAAAGGTAGAGTTAAAAGGAATTTTATGGGGAGGAGGAAGTACAAAATAAGACAAGATAAAAATATTTTTAAAAAAAATTTGTTTCATTTAAGACTAAAAGATAGTACGTCTTCTTGAATAAGAAAAAGTATGTTTTATTCTTCTTATGACACATAATTTCATATGATCTGTCATGTATATGGAACCCGGTTCCGTGGCCACTAGATTCTAGTGGCCACTGAAGCCACCGTCCCCCTACGGAGCTTCATTCATAAAATTGATGATTCCTACCCCTCTAACCCCTCTGATAAACCCCCCGCCAAGTCCCGACCCAAACCAATCACCCCATCTCCGTCAATTGCACCTCGTAAGTATAATTGACCTTAAAATCAAAAGTTTAACACATAATTTCATATGATCTGTCATATATATATATATGCTCTTATGAGAGACAAGTATTGGATAATGACATATTAGACGTACAAATGACTTTACAAATGTGATCATTAGTAATAAGTGTTGGATAATGACTAGTTTAATCGATTCAATTAGAAACTCAAATTAATAATTATATTGTAGACTCAGCAAATGTTATTATACTCCCTCCGTCCCGCAAAAAACTTCTCATTTTGATTTTTAAAAGATTTAAGGACAGTGTATTTTGGTGTGACTTTTCAAAAATGTTATTTGATATGATGAATAAAGTAGAATGTGATGGTTAGATTAATAGAGAAAAAGTGTGATGTGATAGGTAAGTTAAGAATTAATATGAGTAAAAGTGGCCTTTAATAGAAAAGGAAAGGGTTTTGGGCCGGTGGAAAAAGAAAGGAGAAGAGTTCTGTAGGACGGATGGAATATATTCTTATAACATATACCTCGGTATGAAATCTTTTGCGGGCAGATTCAGAATCGGAGGCTCTAATTAGAAGGAAAAGCTTCTTGATATCTGGTTGAGTCCGAAGTATCTTCTCTACCAGCACTGCATGCATTCAAATATAATACAATATTATAACAACCACAACAACAACAACAACAACAACAACAACAATAATAATAATAATAATAATAATAATAATAAAGCAGATCTGCTTAATATTATATGAAGTGTTAAATTGTAGTTGACTTTTTAATTTTGCCCTTGATGTGATGGATAAAAGTAAAATGTGATAGTTTAGTTGTTAGTGAAAAAGTATGATGTGATAGGTAGGGTATGAAAAAGTAGAGGTAAAAGTGGTTTTTTAATAGAAAGAGGAAGTGTTTTAAGAAAAAACAAAAAAAATGAAAGAGGAATGGTTTTAAGAAACGGAGGGAGTAATTAATTAAAGATGAATAATCTTGGAAGAAATAGAGTGCATGTATATTATCAAAGAACCAAGTCAGCCAAAAGTTTAAGCTTATATATAGTCGTAGGCTCGGGAAACGATTTTATACGACGACGCACCTTTGGCAAGGAAGCCGGTTGCGCCAGTGATGAGGATGGATTTGCCGGCGAGGAACTCCATTGTATTTATATTGTTGAGTTGGAAATAAATATGTATGTTTGAATTGGTTTCTCCAAGAAGATGAACTGAAGAAGAAGAAGAAGAAGAAGGCAATTCAAGTAAAGGGCAGTGGAGGAAATTGATTGGCTTGGGATAACAAAATGGTAAGTTACGTGGTGTGAGGTTTGGAGGAGGGGTTTATAAGGGAGTGGGTGTAGGGTAGGGTCACCGTGTGGGACACTCTCATTTGGACCTTTTCTTTAATGAATTTTGGAATACCAATGCAGACCTTAGCTTCTTTAATGCCAAAACAATAATGGGAAATGGGAACACGCCTCTCCACACACTCAGTCCACATCTAAACTCACAATATCCTGCCAAGTCTTAGCTGCCAAATTGAAGGTCAATATTTACTTCTTAATTACTCCATATTCATACTAACTTCATGCCCCGACCCAAACCTTATTAAAAACTCTTCTTCATTCACAATCATAGGATTAAGTTTTTGGTTGAATTTATTTTGTTTTTATATAGTATCAACAGCATTGTGGTTGACCAAAATTAAGGGTCATAACTTTGAATTTACCGTCATCTCAATTTAAAAAATTGAGTTATCACGTGCAAATAAAGGAATTGAGCTTTGGTTGAATTAGTTTTGGGTAATGCAAAGCCATACCAAAAAAATATACACTACCATATTTGAACATCATTAGTATTCTGACTCTTCTCACCACATATTTCTAATTCACTCTATATAATTCTTGCTCACTATTAAGAATACACCTTGGTTCCCATCACACCTTGGGAACCAATGTCATGGATGACCTGGGGGTGCTCCGGTGCCCCGTTCGTAAAATTGATGGTTCTTATCCCTCCTAACCCTCCCGGTAAACCTCTCCACCCCGACCCGACCGTCAATTTTACGAACGGGACACCGGAACACCCCCGGGTCATCCCATGACATTGGTTCCCAATGTCATGGGAACCCCCCCATTAAGAATAATAGATGTATTAGGAAATGTAATATTATTATATTATTATTAATTATCTTTCTTATTACATTATTTCCTTATTGTATTGTTATTATTATGATTCTTCACCTACTATGATTAGAATTCTCTTTTGTGTTTCGTATGTATATGGATTTGTATATGGATTTATTTTTTATTATTCAATAAAACCACTTTTTATCAAATTGCATCATGGGATCGGAGCTAGTGTTCTAAAAAACTTTGCCCTTTTTTCCCGATCGAGCACGTTTCCGGTCTCAGTTCACGGTGGTCGACCGTCCGATAGCATGGCTTCACCGACCGACCTCAACTTCACGAACGGAACATTGTAAGTATCCCAAAATCACTGGTGACATGACATTACGAGCCTGTTCTTTAGGTCTTGAACTCTTAATTTCCAGTTTCTTCCAGTTCCTTCCAATTTCTTCCAATTCCTTCCAGTTTCTTCCAGATCCTTCCAGTTTCTTCCAACTATTCTCATTTTCTTCAAATTCTTTCTACTTCTCAACCAATTATTCTAAAAACCATATATTTTAATGTGATTATTATTATTACAGCTGTTATGTTCATAACTATAGTTTATAAATTATTTTTTTAATCTCACTATTTTTAAGATTCACACTCATTATTTTTTTCTTCAACTTTTTAATATGAATAAGAAAATTTTTTATATATTAGTCTACATGATAAAACAGGAAAACATCAATATGTTAAATTATACTCCCTCCGTCCCGGAATATTCGTCCTGTTTTGACTTTTGGAACTGTTCATCTAAGCACTTTGACTCATCAAATTCTCTCAATGTATAAGCCTAAATATAGTCATGTGTGATCTTGTTTGATTTGTCTTAATATATACTCCCTCCGTTTGGAAAAAAATCTTCCCATTTGATTTAGGGGCAAAAATAAGGAAGTGTTAAATTATAGTTGATTTCTAATTTTGCCCCTGATTTGATGGGTAAAAGTAAGATGTGATAGATAGATTATTAGAGAAAAAGTATGATGTAATAGGTAGGATAGGAAAAAGTAAGGGTAAAAGATGTTTTTTAATAGAAAGCGGAAGTGTTTTGTTGGAAATGGAAAAAATGAAAGAGGAAGTGTTTTTGAGAACGGAGGGAGTAGATTATTAATATATAATTTTTATAATTTTTTAATATACAAATTACAAGATAAAAGAGATTAAAGAAGTGAATTGGATGGTGTGTAAAAATGAAAGTAGACAAATACTCTGAGACGGAGCTAGTATTAACAAAATTATGGATAAAATAGTGAAATTGAATGTTTTATTAATCTAACTTTACATAAGATCCCTCACATTTCCCTTTATTACTTAAAATTTGTTCATTTTTCTAATTTTTATAAAAAAAATGTAACTCAAAATAGTTTAGAAAAAAAGATTAAAATAGGAGTAAAACATAAAAAATGTATAAAAAAAGTTCTACTACTTCCGTCCCTAAATAAACTTCCTTTATTGACTTTTTGGAAATTAAGAGAGGGATATTTTGGCGTTGAGTTTCTAAAAATAACCTTGATGTGATGGATAAAAGTAAGATGTGATGGGTAGATTATTAGTAAAAAGGTATGATGTGATAGGTAGGATATGAAAAAATAATAGATTAAAGTAGTTTTTTAAGGGAAAAGAAAACTTTTTTAGAGACAAAGAAAAAACGAAGGATGAAGTTTATTTGGGAACAGAGAAAGTATGTCTTTATTCCAAAAATAGGACTTCAATGAAAATAAAATGTCAATCATGAAAGAAAAAATAGATTTGATTACATTATGTGACATGTCTGATATTTAAAACCAAATCTTGTAATATATAAAGTATAATTACAAATATATTATTTATAATAAATACTACATAAATAAATTGAGGTGCAATATAACCACAAAGACTTTTTAAATTTTAAAATTATTATATTTATGCTAACTTTTTATTATAATTATTTTTTTTTCAAAAGTAGTTTTTTGTATTTTAAAAAATAATAATACTTTTTTCGTATAATAAATAATAATAATAATAATAATAATAATAATAATAATTTATAACAACAAGAATTTAAGACAAATGTTTTTAAAGTTTTTTTAAGTTTTCCAATTTTTTGAATTTTTTCCAATTTCTTCCAGTTCCTTCCAATTTTTTCCAGTTTCTTCCAGTTCTTTCCAGTTGCTTCCAGTTTCTTCCAAATCTTGGAAGAAAGACTAAAGTAGGACTAAAACATTGAAAATATACCAAAATAGGACTTCCATGTTTTTATTCCCAAAGTAGGACTTATATTACCAAACATGGTCTTATACATTACAAAAAAAGTATAATAATTTCCATATATACACTGTCACATTACCACAATGCAAAGTTACATTACCACAGTGCAAAGTCCTATTCTGGGGAAAAAACATGAAAGTCCTATTTTGATACTTTTCTCTATATTTTAGTCCTATTTAGGATAATTTCTACCAAATCTTCCTGCTCCTTCCAGTTTCTTCCATTTTTTTCCAGTTTTTTCCAATTTTTTCCAGTTTCTTCTAGTTCTTCCAGTTCTTCCAGCTCGTTGCAGTTTCTTCCAATTTTTTCCAGTTTCTTACAATATCCAGCTCTCTTTTTCCAGTTAGGGGTGGACACGGTACGGTTCCGGTTCCGGAACCGCCGGTTCCGGAACCGCCGGTTCCGGTACCGCCACCCCTTGGTACCGGTACCGGTACCGGACCGGCCGGTACCGGTTCCGGTACCGTTTCCGGTACCGTTTCGGCCACCCCTAATTTTGTTTTTTTTTTTTGCTTTTTTATTATATTTTTAAAATGTAAAAATGTGAATGTGTAATTGTTAAAGGAAATGATGAAATAAAAAAATCTAAAAATGAAATTGATAAAGGAAAGAATGAAATAAAAAAAAAATAAAAAAAAAAATAACGGTACGGGAACCGGAACCGCCGGTGCCGGTACTGAAAAATGGACACCGGAACCGGTACCGGATTGGGCGGTACCGGTACCGGTTCCCGGAACCGGTGGACCGTACCGGCCGACGGTACTGTACCGGTACCGTGTCCACCCCTATTTCCAGTCCTAAAGAATAGGCCCTACATCATTTGAAGTGAAGTAACATTACAAGTTCCATATATGTATATTCTGCATCTATTTAAATGATTCAGATTTTGAATGGACCGGAGCCACTTGTCCTACCCTCCACCCTTTATAAATAACGGGCAGGGAGTTGAACACGGGTATGAGCATTTTTATAGAACTAAATCCCCTAAAAAAGAAGTTGCGATCATCCGGAGGACTAATTCAAGATTTAGGGGCGGCGGAAAAATAAAAGTAAGGGGGGAAAGGGTGGCAGTTGCTTTGATTAGAGCGCCGTGTTCCCAACCTTTTGTAACTCCGCAGATTTGCACCAATATTTTGTGTTGGTGTAAAACTAATTTTTATTAACGCACCAGCACTTTATTTCCGTGTAAATTTTTGTTAACGCACCAACATTTGTGTCAGTGTAAACCATTAAAATGTTTATGTATAACTGCGGTGTATAAATGGGGTATAATTTTTGGTGTATATGTAGCATGGTCCTGAAAAAAACAGTTGAATTTGCATGATGATAATAGAGTAGTAGGTCCATTTTGATAGTAATGTAGTTGGGGGTTCATTTATGTTCATTTAAATTACACTTTGCACCAACACGAATTCGGATCGGATTCTGATTGGGCTTTAAATTAACTAGTTCCTATTTTCCTGAATAGGCCTGGCCAAGATGAAACGGGCTAAAAACTTTGCCCATACAGAGCGAACAGTCCACCGGGCTGCTCCATCCAAAAATAGTTGCAAAATCAGTAAAGCACATACCCCTCTCTCTCTCTCCACAAATATTACTAGAATTTGATTGTTTTGATCAAACGGTGCAATATTTTGATCATAAATTAAATATAGTTTTAAATAACTAATTGTTATAAAATTTAGATATATCTTACAAGAGAGACATGAAAAAGAATACTAAATCCCTTTGTGATTCGATTTGGTCACTTTCTTAGTTTTTCTTATTCTTGTTATAGTAGGATTATATAGTTATAGTAGAAATAGAAGTTAACTTATTTGCTTTTATATTCTTCCTATTAAAGAGGCTTGTACCTTTGTATTCTATTAGACAATTAAATACTCTCTCCGTTCTAAAAAACACTTCCACTTTCTATTAAAAAACCACTTTTGCTCTTACTTTTTCATACCCTACTTATCATATCATACTTTTTCTCTAATATTCAATCTATCACATCTTACTTTTACTCATCACATCAAGGGCAAAATTGAAAGTCAACTACAATTTAGCACTTCTTTATTTTTACACAAAGTCAAAATATGAACACTTTTATAGAATAAATGGAGTATATAATTATTCTTCATTACTATTTACTACATGGTATCGGAGCAAAGTTCTCGATGACCTAAAATTTTGTATATTCGCTCCTGGTGGGTGGGGCAACCATTAGCCGCCCGCCGTGTCGTTGTTCAATTTTTCATCCAATCCAAAGTGCTTATCACTCCCAAACTCTCGAAACCGGCAACACCTCATAAATCTTACCCATGTTGAATTACAAGAATCGGCATAATGAGGGCAATTAAAAGTTATTGACTATAATATAAATGATCACTATAACTTTTAAAAGTTATTAAGTTATGATATAATTTTAAGTGTAAGTTGAATCGAATTTAGATTTAATCAGATTGTTTCAGATTCAATCCAACTTGATCATATCAAATCTCATCAAAACTAATCTGATTGGATTAGATCAAATTAGATCAGAATTTTAAATAATCAGATCAAATATGGCGAATGGAGTAGAGGATTAAGAAAAGAAAATGAAAAGGAATCTTTTTGCTTATTTTGTTTTGAGTTATGCTAGATGGGATACACAACATGGAGTACCACATTTGGATGCCAACAATTATCACCGTACATTTTTTATTTATCCGTCAATTTTTTTTTACCCACATTAAAATTGTGTGATCGAAATACCCTCGCGTACAAAAACAATTAGATACACTTTTTTCGTTTACATTTTTCTTTTGTTTTCTTTTCAGTTTATTCTTTTCTTGAACAAATTTCCTTTTGCTTGTTGGCGACGCAAGCTTCAGAAGACGACGTCGTTTCGTCTCTCTGCTTCCGGAACCGGACAATTAGTAGCAAGGCGGCGGAGACGGCGACCAGAACGACGCCGGCGAGTCCACAGACCAAACTGCCCACAAACAGTCCCTCTCTTATTGGGTCCTCCGTCTTTCCATCGCGCGTGATACTTCTGCCGCTGGCACCGGCGCTCATCCACGACGCCGTGAGATTCCTCCCGGCAGGCAATTCCGCAGACGCCGGCGAGGCGCCGAAGAAGGCGAGCATCCCCGAAGACGACGAGTTTCCGGCTCCGGGGGACATCGGGGCGGATTCCTGATCGGCTAGGCCGTGCTCCGACGGCCGGAGATCTCTCCCGTCGGCTGTTTGATTGAGGATGTTTTGGGAAATCTGTAATAATAGGAACAAGACGGCGACGGAGTGTTTTGAGAAGTGATTTTCCATCTCCGATCCCCGCTCTATCTCTCTCCTCCTCCTTCTAGAGAGATTAATTAATGAGCTTCGGGATTAATTACAGCTGCGCTCCTCCATGGCATAATCTCATCATCATTAATACTCGTCCCCACAAGAATTATCTTTTAATTATTCCGCCTAAGTTAAAAAGACACGCACTCATTTTCCATAAAAATATTTGCTCTAAATAGAACTAAAACTTATGCAATATGAGGATTTCGAGTAGGAAGAATAGTAAATTCTATCGAGATGTAGTCAGACCGGTTATGTTGCATGGTGCTAAGTGCTGGGTAGTCATGAAGAAAACCCACGTACGTCAACTACATGCTCACAAGATGCGGATTCTGCAATGGGGGAGGGTAGAGGTCAACACGAGTTGGGGCGATTCGAATTTTTAGTAGTCCTGGTCATAGTCTTGATTTATAGAAACGGGTCGAACGTAGTTGTAGTATTTAAAATGTTAAAGAAGTAATAAGAATATCAATGAGAGACAATTAAAGGGCTATTGAAGAGATTTTTGGAGGACGAAGAGAGTATATCTTATTTTCTTAAAAGAAAGTACCTTATTTTTCAAATATGTACGTTGGTATAACTAAGGAATATTAATATCTTTTTTTATTGTATAAACTCACTACATCGTTAATAATTCATTTCATTGTAATGTAAATAATTTTATGTTAAGAATTTCTTTCATATATATATGTGTGTGTGTGTGTGTGTGTATGTATGTATGTATGTATGTATGTGTGTGTATGTATGTGTGTGTGTGTGTGTGTATATAGACACACACACATATAAGATTTAAATTTATTTAACTTGATTACTTCATTGTACCTTTTTACATTTTTCATAAACGTTACTCCGGTACATTATTAACAACTAAAATACAACATTAAAAATTAAAAATACTGAAACTGGTAAGGGGAACCAGACGAGAACCAGACTCGAGCCGTGCCGCCGAAGATTAGTAATTAACTGTTAGGGTCCTCCTACCCTCGGTGCCGGGAACCGGCTATTTCAGAACCAATATTGTATCGGCGCAAAACTGTGTCTACGCCTAGCCTCGAGTTGGCCGGAAAACGCTCCGACCCGCCGGCGGTTTCCGGCTAAATCCGGCGAAATTGACGGCGGGAACCAACTCCAATGCGGTCGTGGCATCCGGGCGACCTCCAAGGACCCCTCAATTGCATGATTTGATGAAGATTTGCAAAACCCCCAATTTTGGATCCAATTTCGAATTTTAGGGTTTTTTCGAGTAGAAAAATTCCGATTCGAGAAGTTACAGGCCAAATTTGACAAAATGGTTTAGATATTATTGATCCTCGTCTCAAGACGAAGAGAATGACATTGGTCCCGCCGGAATCGGAAAAAGTTCATTTTCCGGCGACTTTGACCGGCGGGCGGCGGCGGCGGGGCGTGGAAGAAAAGAAAAGAAGAAATGGGGTCAAATTGAAAATTTTAAAATATATAAAATTCGAATTTGGCCCTAATGACCGGAAGTTAACCTAGAAACGGGCTAATGGCTCATTAGTGAAAGGATTGTGTAAGTTCAAGGATTTTTGTGAAAGGATTTGAAGTTCAGGTACCACTTCGAAATTCCAGCTAAAGTTCAGGTACCATTTGTGAAATTTACCCCCAAATTTTTTCGATTATGTAGTCTTGGAGGGTAGCTTGGCTTCTTTCATCGCGTATAGTAGCACGTAGATGTACACATTCTTTTAAATTAGGAGGTAGAGCTTGAATAGGATTTTTTATTACCATTGATATTTTGGATAAAATTTTAGTAAAGTATATAGATTAATATAGAAAAATCTAAAACTAAACTCTACTACTCGTATTAAATAATACTCCCTCCGTCCCGAAAAACATGAGAGTTTTGGTTTTTTAGAGCGATTTAAGGGGAGTGTATTTTGGTATTGAATTTCCAAAAATGTGCTTTGATGTGATGGGTAAAAGTATGACTTGATGGATAGATTATTAGTAAAAGGTATGATGTGATAGATAGGGTAGAAAAAAGTAAGGAGTTAAAGTGACTTTTTAATAGAAATGAAAAGTATTTTTTGGGACGAATGAAAAAAGAAAGGAGAAAGGTTTTTTGGGACTCTGTAGTGGTTTTGCAAAATGAGGATATAATTGATAAAATAATTGAAGAAGAATCGTAAGGGTCTCTATACCTAGATATAGGGGGGTCGGAGTAGAGGATTACTAACTCCAAATTGGATAATGAAAGTTATTAGGGGCTTTTTGACCCAACGAAGGGTAACTCGTGACTTATTGTCGGAAATAATTATGATAGAATATGGTGGAACCTATACCATGCTTTGAATACCTATGCACATGCATGCACCGGCCATTACTATAATACGCTTCAGGAATGGGATATATAGGTACAATTTCATTTTGGGTCTTTTTTTTTAATGAATTACAAAGTTTAACATTAAATTTAAATTCAAAGGTAATAATATTCGAGATTGATTTCTGTCAACACCACTGTGATGCAACTATGCATAGAGTATTTGCAAGTATCATGTAATGTTCTATATATTCTTTGCAACCAATCTGCTATGTAAGTTCAATTTACTTTCTTTCAGTGATCATCCGGCCGGTGTGAGGGGCCCTCGGAAATTGCCGGCTCAGACGGGGCCCATCCTTTTTCAAAGAATATATTTTACCTAAAAATTTAGATTTTTTTTAATTTGCAAGCTACACAAATACTCCCTCCGTCCCAAAAAGAATGAGACGGTTTGACTTTTTGGGAAATTAAGGGAGGGATATTTTGGTATTGACTTTCCAAAAATACCCTTGACGTGATGGGTAAAAGTATGATGGGTAGATTATTAGAAAAAAGGTATGATGTGATAGGTAGGGTATGAAAAAGTAAGGGGTAAAAGTGGTTTTTTAATAGAAATGTAACGGACTTTACGAGACGCAATTTTTTCTAAACGTAACAAACTTTTTGGGACGGAGGGAGTACATCTTAGTGATAAAATTTCCACGAAAACATTCCTAGATGCTAGACTTTTTATGTATGCCACTAAATTTAATTCTAATATCTACCTATTATCATCCAACAAAAATTAGACACAAAATTATTACTCGATCGGAGTACATTGAGAACTACGATTACTTTTATAAAAATGTGAAAAAATATTAAAAATAGTGAAAATAAAAAATGTGATTTAAATTTAGAAAAATAGGGGATAAAATGTACTCCAGGTATGAGATTATAAATCACATGTTTTTCTTCTAAATAAAATTAAAAAAAGTATGTATGAAGTTTTCTTGATAGTGAAAAATCTTTGATGAGGTGGTGGGAGAAATTAAAGTTGTGAGTTGTTAGTAGGTGGGTTTTAATTAGTGGGCTTGTTTGATGTTTTTTAATGCTTTCAAAAAAAAAGAATATCGGTCCACTTAAAAATATTCTTAAGATAAATCTTTATTTTGTATTTAATTTTGTTATTCATTTGTTAAAATGACATATTAATAGCATTTTTTGTTTCATATATAACTCATACTCCCTTCGAATTCGTTCTTAAAAGGTTTTTTCCTTTCCTTTTTTATTTTTCCTTGTCCCAACATCTCATTCTCCTTCTGATTTAAATTTTTTATATTCTTACTAATTATCGTCACACATATATCCATCATACTGTTTTACTAATAATATTTTCTTTGCACTCTACTTTTATCTGTCACATGAAGAGTAATTTAGAAAAGTCAAATTTGTTTTTTTTGAAAATAAGTCAAATTTGTTTCTTGAATCACATAAAAGTCAAAATTTGTTAATTTTGACTTTCAACCATATTTGATAAACATTGATTCTCAATTGAATTAAAAAATGCAATAAATTAAACACTAAATAATAGTAATAAAATTGTTGTTTGGAAAATAAGACTATAAAAAATTATTTTTATATTCAACATTGAATAAACAACACAATTTTTAGTTAACTATTGATCAAGTTTATAAGACTAATGCATTATCTTATAAAAATATGAGTAATTTTGAAGTAAACGTGTTGACATGTATCTAAATTTTACTTTTATTTTACGCTTTAAAATACACGCCCATTTATATTTTGGTACTTTACGCAAGTAAGACTAAACATATCATTTTTTTCAAATAGAATGAGTCATATTTACTCTACATTTGGCGATGTAATGAAATGTTCTAAAATGTCATATCTTTGAGAAGAATGGTGAACTACGTGTAAGTTCCATATGGAGTAAATTTATATAGTCCATGGCACCCTACTTCTATCGTCAATTAAGTTTGGTTAAGTGCTACAAATGTATAGAGAGGATGAAACTCTCAAAGGGTCAAAGTGAAAGTTTGATTAAGTAAATGTTTACCGACACAATAATAGACTGTATAATTTGCTGACAGAGGAGACCCATTTTCAAACCCTAATAACCTAAAGCGTCGCTACTACAGTAATATGCTGTCAAAAGACGGCATGGGCTTCGATTTCCAAACCCTACTTCTCTATTAATATTCACTATAGTAAATAAATGAGATATAATTTTATATTGATTTTCTAAAAATAGTCTTAATCTGATGGGTAAAAGTAGAATGTGATGTATATATTATTAAAAAAAGTATAATGTGATAAAAAGGACATGAAAAAAATAAAGCGAAAAAGTAGTTTTTTAATAGAAATGAGAAGGATTCTGGGAACACAATTTTTTTAAAACGTGAAAGACTTTTTAGACTGGAGGGAGTATTTGGGACGACCTTTCTAGTGCTCTTACATCCCCTCCTTATTTTAAGGTTTATAAGATTTAAGAAAGAGATATTTTGAATTTAATTCTTTAAAATTATATTTGATTTTAAAGGGAAAAATAAGATATAATGAATATATTGTTAAATAGTGAATAGATAAGATAAAAACAGATAAAGGTAAAATCATTTTTCTTAGAAAGAGAAAGAGATATTGGGACAAAGAAAAAAAGAGAAATTTTTTAAGAACAGGGAATATGATGATTTTAAACTAGAAAACAAATAACTCTCCTTTAGTCAATTGAGATAAAAAAGGCTTTATCTACTTTCTCTATAATATAAGTCACACTCTTGTATGCAATTCATCTTTTCCTATTCTAAGAATATGTTGCACCAAGTATATATATGGTGATAAAATGCACTGGAGAAAAGGATTGAGAAAAACGA